GGTGGTGTGGTGGTGTGGTGGTGTGGTGGTGTGGTGGTGTGGTGGTGTGGTGGTGATAAGATTGTGTGAGATAGTGAGTATTCTTACATACTATTATGTAGATTAATTTCATTGAAAGTAAAGATTATCATAATACAATGATGATGGTGGTGGTGTTCATAATTATAATTCTGGTGATGGTGATAGTGATGGTGATGAGATGGTGGTGGTGATGCCTCTCATAGCTATAAATAGCTATGAAAAGATTTCTTACCGTGATGCATACTTCTTCTGCGACAGTATGGATATGTAGAACAGCTCGATAACCTGCACAGATAATAGACTTGTATTCCAGAATGACAACCTACACAGTAAACAAACAAAAGAGAATGTATTTTTCGTTAGAGTTTACCGCTTAACAGTGTAACCCTGATTCGCAAAAAATGCCAATAGAGTATATTTTTGCAGCACTTATTAAAACAATATCTTTCTATTAACTTGTGGTTAGGAAATCAATTCTGATTGGCCAAAGAACAACAAATGATTCATGTAATGTTTCTACTGTAGGTGCCCACGGTTTTTCGAAGAGCAGTGTAGTATCATACATATCTACTTTTTTCTGATAACTTACTCCGGTTTTCGATATTCTGCAAACACGGTAGTTACAAGCTGCACGCTGTAACAAATCAGTTAGTGCCTTTTATGTTGTTGGCTGGCAGCAGCAAAAAACCAATATCACAACAAGCTGTTGGAATGTCCAAGTTCACAGAATATGGATAACCGCAGTAAACAGCTCAAATTATCTTGTTCTATAAGAATGATTGTGATAAAAGATTGTATAGCCCAATTGTATAAACAGATCCTACCTGGGCATCAAATTTGCTGACTGTATGGCACAGGCTGTCAGGAGAGCACAAAACGAATCCCTGTGATACATCCTAATAATAAAATAACACAGATAATTATGCAAATGATAAAAAAGTGTTTGATAGATCTTTTTACTAAAATATCTTTTTTACTGAAATGGTGGCCATCTTGAAATGTGGGATGCCAAAGTGGGAAAATGTAGAAAATTAATAAAGCACAGAGTGGCGGGTTTACATTTTCAAATAATTTGAAGTCTTGGTGTTTCACTTATTGTTCCGACTACCAGCAAATTCAATTGCTTTTTAGATCTGCTTCAAATTGAAAAGCGGAAAGTTATAAAAAAGTAGGTGCCCTCTGCATTTCTTACCGTCGTTTGCATTGCTACACAGCCACCCCAGACACAAATCGCATCCTGTAGTTTGCAATAGACTGCCGTCAATCAAACACCTCATTCTACTTGGATATACTCAAACTCTTTGCAATCGCTTTCGGAACTTTCCTTCGTAATATCTGACTGAGAAAGTTTGATAGAAAAGCCAACTCACTGGTCCAAACGTGTATAAATGGCGTCAGCATGAACGATTGACGGCAGTCTATTGAAAACTACACGACTCGATCTGTGTCTGGGGTGGCCACATAGTACACCTTTTGCCGTTCATTAACAGAAAATGTACATTCATTTGTGCCAATAGTTGTATCAATAACGTGTAATGTACTTTCATCAACACCACAAGTAACATCATTAGCGCG